GATATAGGGGCTATGGTGATTTTAAAATTGTAGCAATTAAATTAAATCCATCAAAATTTATAAGTATTTCAAAAAATGGTCATAATAATTATTAATGATTTTGTTGAATTCCTGCTGCTTGAACTGCCTTAAAGTAACTGATTTTGAGGTGTAATAATGCTAACAGTTTAGCTCCAATTGTCCTGCGGGTGACCCTGTTGGAGTCGATGTGATTTTAGGACATAAGACTAAGTTTAAGATTAGTTTATTTTACTATTTAGATAATTAAATATGTATTTGTGTAGTTTTAGTTGCCTATAATATAGGCTCTGTATGCTGTATCCGATGGAGTTAATTACATTTGACTCAGCATAATAAGTAACAACTATATGATACGTTTTATTATTACACTACTCAATTAATACGTAATTATTGTACGTAATCAATTATAATTAAGTATATTCATTATTGTTTAATTTATATTTATGAATATAGAATTCCAAAATTGCTTTAATTTTGAATTAAATCAAATATTAAAGGGGGACTTAAAGTAAAAACAAAAAAGTAGTATTTCAACCACTTGCCACACTGTAGGAATGCGAAGCTGACCGGTTTTAATGTTGAAAATGGACTATAAGTCATTAACTATCTATGTTTTTAGTAATTACTAATTTCAACAGAGGTCATTTTTAATATTTAAAACTGTTTATGAAATGATAAACATCTTTTAAAAAATATGATTTTTACTTCCATTGACACTTCTATTAAAAACAAATATTTAAATTAGCTTCAGTCTAAAGTTAAAACACAGTTAACTGTTATTGATATACTGTTATAAAATCCTTTTCCAGTATTTTAATCCGATGCCGAAGTTCTATACATTTTTGTCGCTCGACGCTTCATATTTTAATATTGTTGTAAGTGACTTATAAAAATATGAAAATGATTTATCTTTAAAATATCGACATGTATGAAAGTGTATAAATTGCCATATGATCCAATTAAAAATAATCCATTATTTGAGCGATTGGACCTATTGGTGATTAGATTTAGACACTTTAATTTTAATTTACTTGTTAGTTGTTACATAGTCACCAAAATAGCCAAATAGAGTCAAGAATAGTCCAATCAATTTGCCTATAATTTTATCCATATAACACAAATGAATATGGTCTTCTCAACAAAAAAATTAAAAATTAAATCATCATTGAGTTATAAAAAAAAAAAACATTTTAATAAATAAAATAAAACCCATATTAGTTGAAGCAGTAGAGTGTATTGATAGTTTTTATTGATGAAAGATGTGTTTCATAATATTATGTAATATCTGTTTGATATGCCCCAACTATGACCATGGTAATAGACAATGATTTGAAAATTCTATAGACCTAAGAACATGAATAATACCTATTTATGATTATTCAAAATTTTAAATGTAATAATATAGGTACTTGTTTTATAATTGTATTACATTTTAACCATGTTGAAGCTGCATTAATTATCTAATAATTAACTTATCTAGTTAAATTTTTTTCTTTGTTAACTTTTGATTTAACTGAAGGTAATTTAATAGAATTAACTTAACTTGCCACCATTAACTTAATTATTTTCACTAACTTGCCCACCATTACTTATAACATACATTCAAACTTTACAAAAGTAATTTTGTTTTTTTATTTAACATAAATAAATGTCCATAATGTAATAATTTCACTGTGCCTAAATATGTTGATTTCATATATCTTGTTTATTGCAGTATGTTAATTTTTATCAAAAGTTGAATGAAATTCGGAAATTTTTTCATTCTTTCCAAATATTATGTATAATTGATAATTGATGATACTTACAGATTCGGAGATTATTTACTCATATAAACTCAAGATTATACCCATTTTAGAAGAAAACCACATAATTGTGGTGTTTGTTTGAAGTAAAATATGTTATATTTTTAAAATGAACTATGCAAATTGTGGTAGGTACCTATATAATATTATAAGCACATTATAACAATAATATATAAATTGATGTTAATAAAATTACAACGTTTTAAATACTCTCAAAATGCTTTGAGACTTTCTCATTTTTGTATATGTAATTACAATTCCACTCAATGTCTAGGTACAAAATATCTCCTCTTGAAAATCCTTGGAATCAAAACGACACTGGTTAAGCAAAACACTTCTGTTATCTTTGGACATTTTCCAAGACGTCGTAGATATCAAGATTTTTTTCCTATTTCTATTCTAACAAATAATACATAGGTACATTATCGCATCACATTTCACAACAATAATAAAAAATGTTTCGTCTGACACGTCTGTCATTCCGTTTTCGGCTACAATATTATTTATTTAATACATTATGATTATATTATATAGTATACTGTATAATGTATATTAATGTACTATAAAATGTATGTGGGTATATATAATAAATATATATATATTTACAATGTCCAGCCACTAACCTTGACATGAATACCGGAAAATCCAAAAAGAAAAACTGAGAAGCAAATTACCTTTACTTTCACCCGAGAGGCGTCAATCGGGTCCCGACGACGATGATTGCACAACGGCCTCTAGATGGGGTATGGTCTGTTGAACGTAACTGCCGTCGCAGCCGAGATTGTTGTCACTGTTACATACCTCTGATACAATTTTGACGTTAAACCCTGTCCGACTGTTATTGTTTAAAGATAAAAAAAAAATAATAATAATAATAAAAAATGGCCAATTTGATGCTGTAACCGCCGACATAATATTGCAAAACAAATAATCCCGATGGATACGTCTTGTCAATAATTTCCCGAAACAATATCTTCAAACGTACCGGTAGGTCATATAATGACAACAAAGTGAAGGTTTTAAGTTTGCCCCTCACCATCACCACCCGGTCCCACACAGATAAAAAAAATTCAATAACAACAATAATTTGATTTTGAGCAGGTATAAATGTAAGAGGATGCTTAATAATAATAAATTATAAACTGCATACAGCAGAGACAGCCGTTGCAATGTCATGCGGGAGAACACATGCAAACAACCAAACAAACAACCGCGACGTCCGATTTCGTTATCACCATTAGAGTTATATCATTATACTTAAAGTGTTTTTTTTTATTCTCGAATTCTGAGAAGGTGTGCTGTAAAAAAAAAAAGAATAAAAAAGCGGTTAATTTTTGGAGAACGATTTCATGAAATATTTCGATTTCGTCACAGCTTGCGAATTACGGATGAGTCGGTCCAGAAATATAATATTAAACAAAACAATAAAACAATTGAATAACAGTAAACGGTGACTTATTGTGTTTTAAAGCACACAAGAAAGAGAAATTTCACATTTCCGGACGGCTGGGAAAATGTTCAAAGAAAACTCATATTGGCTGGTCACTACATCATTAACGGCTATCTATAACAGTGATGTTACACGCCTACGATATTTATGATAAACGTTTCACTGTTTCAGTAATAGGACGGTAGTGATGCTAATAAATGTGTTTTGTACAATTACTGCAGTACAAGGACTGTCTGTCCAATTTAAACATTAATATACCAAGTAAACTTTGTCTTTCGTTTAAGTGCTGTGCCTTTGATTTTATTGTTTTGTTTATTTGTAAATGTTTGTTTTGATATGGTGGATATTGATCATCGATTGTATGGTGGAATTCAAAATCGTTTATGGGTAGGTGTCTTACATTTTAAATTTTAAATTTTAATACAATAGCATCGCTTCTTTGCAACTATACTAGGTACTATAAATAATAATACATGGATCGTCTATAGTTATATACACATTTTACAAAACATAGGTAAGTAATCGTTTAACCGACCACCCTAACATTTAATCAACTTATTGTGTATACCTAATAATCATCATAAGAAATATAATTATGATTTATTATTTTATTACCTAGTAAAAAGTATAAAAATGTTTTCTAAAGTTAAGTTAAGTTGATTTTATAATTAAAGTATAAATGTGTGCTTATTTAGTTATATGCAAAGTTTTTTTTACGGTAACAAAACTTTAAAAAAAATAGAAGTATTTTATACCTATAACCTATAGTAAAATTAATCAATGAAAACAATGTTATCTATTGAAAATTTATTTTTAAAATTTTCCAATAATTTACAAAATAATGAAAATGGTCATCAACGCCTGTTTTTTACATGTCCAAAAGACTATCACTAAACAAATAATTATTTAATCGTTTACACCTAATTATCATTTGGACTATTCTAAATAGTATATTTAACTTACATTTTATTTTTGTAAACACAAACATTACCATTACAATCAAATATAGGTAATTCTTTTTCTTATATGCTCATGTTATTGATTCCAAAATAAACAAATATTATTATTGTCATTACCTATATTTCTTGCTCCAGGTAATATATATTTGTGATCGATATACCTTGTAAACAGTTTTTATATTTTGGAGTAGCTTATTATGTATCATTGTAGCTCTTAAAACCCGATGTTAACATTGATTCGGGTGCACTAAAATTTAAAAACAAAATAGGCTCGACACCCAGCACACCACTCAGATCATTGTAAACCCTGAAGGCTATTAACTATTAACTGTTATTAAACTTATAATATAGAACATATAATGTAAACCCGCATAAACCGTTGATTACGTTTTCTTTGAAACTAAACATCAGTCGAAATCAAATGAAGCTAACAGTGAGATGGTAAATACCCAACACCGGAATCAGTGCCCCATTTTTAATTTGTTTCCCATTTACGTTATTACGTAGCCAAGTTATACCTGTAAGCTCGTTCGATTACGTATCTGGTTACAGCAGTGGCTATCGTTTTTCAAATTGTAATAGTTTTAATTTGCTAGATATTATAATATTATATAGGTAGGTACTAGGTAGTAAGTATACTGTATACATACAAATCGATGAACCATAATGAAATACATAATATACAACCGCAATATATATTATACTTTCAGAAACGAACGAGTGATTATAACAGTTCCAGTGCACATAAAAAAAATACACCACACAAAAATGATTTACAAGATCATCGAAAAACCCGTTCACGCGGACATCGTCTCGACGCCGTCTGCGGATCAAGTCAGCTACCACGAGGAGCCTACCACGCCCAATGCGCCTCACAGGACACATGGTAACGGGAACCAGACGGTAACGACGACTTACAGATATCGCGAACGCGGTCGTGAACCGACACCCATTGACCAACGTGGTCGTGGATATGGTGGAGATCCTGGCCATTTGCGTGACGGAGATCCCTCAAAAGGGTCGACCACACACGGTGCCCGAGTTGAAGGCACCCGGCACAAACAGTACGGTGACGCCGCCGACCACGGACCGCACCGCTCCCATGCAAACGGAGCAGCTTTACAACAACTCCAACACCACGTCCACGGCCCACGTTACCCTATCCACGGACACCGCGTCAATGACGTATGGTATGGCAAGCAAGCTGGTGAAGGTGTTAAACACATAGGTGATGGTCACAAGCGCGGCCACTCTGTCGAAGTGATGCATGGTCACTTTGGCGACGTTTTGCGGGTGCCGGGTGGTTATGAGCACGGCGGAATGCACTTTAGCGACCATAAGCCCATGCACCTTGGGGACCACAGACACGCTCACTTTGGTGATCATCAACACGTACACTTTGGAGACCACAAACACGGGAACGTCGGAGATCACAAGAACTTAGGGCGTCACAATTTTGAGCACTTTGGCGGTCACAGGTTTAATAAGCATTTCGGCGGTGTTGGTCACGGAAACATTGGAGGTGCGTGGCCTCAGTCTGGTTCAGGTGTCCATGGACAAAACCAACGCGATCGACCAACTGAACCTCCGAGAGAGTACCAACATACTGACAACCTGCACAGGAATGTCGCCAAGTTCAGTACCTCAGCACGTGGTCAATACGGCCACAGTGCAGCCGATGCGGATTCGGCCGGTCCAAACGCCGCTTATCGTGAGCTCGATGATCATGGATTTCCACGGCTACTGCACGATCACAAATTCAGTAACCACGTTTACGGACACCACAGTACGGGTGGTTATCAAGTACAGGAAAACGTAGCAGATTTCGATGGCATGACTCCGATCGCGGTCCCACAACCATATCCGGCCACCACTGCACAAGTGTTCCAGGTTGACCAAAAATACCCTTCTCCGGCGTCGGGTATCGGTGGCGGTGACACGCTGGACGGGATGTCGTCGGTTTCCGCCATCGCTTCGCCACCAACCGTCAACAACGTTTACTACACGCTCGATCCCGTCGTGCCCTACAACGACGTGGCACTGCAACCTCAGCGTGAACAGTTGTTCGACGGTGGGGTGCCGAAAACAAAATAGTCTCGGTTATAATTAGGCTTTGGGATCACGGTTTCTGCTTATTCCAGCATATTTATGCACTATTTATAGCTTTTTCTCTATCTATAAACTGCAAAAAAAAATTTTCGACAGTTAAAATGACTATATCTTACCAACATTGTGTAACTTCCACATTATATTACTTATTAGGTACCTACGCTTTTCGGTCCTCGCCACCGATGACGATCTCTATTCACTTATAATTTTATTTTTATTAAAGGATCGATTTTAAAAGATGCATTGATATGGAAACGATATAATTATACAAAGAGAACAAAATTAATTATAATTTCAGTATATAATAATGAAATTTCAGTTACATTTATTTACTTTAGGACGTGTTTGGTATGTTTTTAGTGCGTTTTGTAGTGTTTTTTAATAAGTTTTTAAATTAAGATTATAAAAATATATATATACCAACTACTAATATACATTTAAATACGTGCAGTGCATAAATATAACATGATCTATATAACTGACTATATACACAAATTTTTTTAGTCATAGTTTATAGTGAGGGGGTGTGTATTTTGGTGTATTCTTTAGATTTACTTTCATGATTATTTTTTTTATAAATATCTATGAATAAAAGAGTAAAAAGAGTGTCCTAAAAAAGATACACATACGAGTACACCTATAATACATAGGTATACATTTATTTTTATAACTTATAAGCTTATGTGGAGATTCCCATATTTGGGCACCGTCATTATTTGTTTGGGTGTACATTAGAATATTACAAATATTTTTAGTGCAAATGAATTAGGTAAGTACCAATAAATTAATTTTTGATTGACATTTCAATTCAAGATTAATTCTATTATAATATTGTAACTATAAATTAAATATAATCTATACAATATAATATTATTAAAAATATAAAATTATAGTAACACTGTATCACTGAAGTTAATTATAATTAATTATTGTTGTTCTGAGTGGTGAATGGGAATTGGGAAGGTCTGAGTCTATTATCGTAATTTTTTTTTTAATAATTCGCTAAAGCGATTCTTTTGATTTTTTTTAATAATAAGCATAACCTATGTAGTTTGCTGCAGGCGAGATACGTTAGTCTCAATATTTTAGTTTCAATTACTGTAACACAATATTAATATTATATCATATTACATTGGATATTTAATCATAAATAGGGTTTTCGACACGAAATGGTTCGGAAGTTAAAAATGGTTATTTGTGGTTTTGTATTTAAAGCAATAATTATCATAATACAATAACATGACCTTGACAAGTAGACCAACGTAAGCCATCAATAATCTAGCGTGAAATCGATAATATTTATACGCGCACTTGTTTAACGGCGTGACAAAACGTCTAGTGCAATATTTGCGTTAAGAATTAAGATTAGATGTATAGTTTGTCTTAGTTCCAGAAAATGTAAGTCCGGAGGTCAGACACATAGATATTTCGTAATTAAACACTGGACAATAGTACTGGAATATAATAAAAAAAACTCTGATATAACAATAATTATTATTTTTTTAAATTGTCTACAACCAACAATAATAAAATATGTTGTATAATATATGTGCACTGTCCCAGTGCCGAGTATATTATTTTTAAAATAATATGTCTATAGTAGTATAGTGATAAAAAAAAATATTACATTTGGCGTACTGTTATTATTATTATACAGGTATAATATTCAACAAGAATAAAACAAAAATTTGTCACGGCAAAAGAAGTCGTTTTTCTCGACTTGTATCTGTATGTGTAATGTGTATGTATTTTTTCTAAAGAACAATTCGTACACAAACAACGAAGCAAATATAATTATATGATCACTATTTTGTAACAAATCGAAGAAATATACCAGTCAATATAGAGTTTTCTGGTGCAAGTGTGGAGAAAGTACAAATGGTGAAATATTTAGGCGATCTTTAAAATAAGATGTCTCGTATGTAGATACCTACCTCTAAGAGTCTTAAAATAGGTAAGCTACAACTTTAAATACCAATATAAACAAAGCATGAGATAAATGCAATTTGTACACCGAACATCACATACTTAAAAAAATAACATATTTTAGTAAAGAAAAAGTACAAAAGTATTTGAAACAAATATTATACCATATAATAGAATAAAAATATTTTGATATGTACTTGATATTATTAAATTCAAAGATTTGTTTTTAACTAAAGAAACCTCATTATATTGTGAATTATAATAGATAGGTACAGGTACACGCTTTCACAATATTTTGGTATTCGATACTTTTTAATTCGATTATACATTTTTAAGATATGAACAAATGTTATTGATACAACAAAAATATTTTGTAATAAAAGTACACTTCTTGGTATTATTGTTATTATTTAACAAACAAAAAAACAATAAAAACACAAAAGAATACATTTTCACATAAAGCACACTTTTATAATTTTATTATTCACTAAATTGTTTGCCAATACTGTTTTTTATAAAATAATATAATATCTCCTTAACAAAAAGTAAAAAATTGTATTAAAAACGTATTAGCTATAATAAAAAGAGACCGGGTTGGTATAAGTACCTACTCGGTTTGGCTTCACTCGTGCAAGACAGTGCGTTTTATAGGTACTGCTTAGATAAGAATTTGTATTGCATTTTTTTTTTTGTTAATAACACTGCATTACGATTTTAATGTAAAATTACAATGAATTATAATTTTGTAATATCTTTACTTAAAAAATTATAAGCTAACAGCAGTTCAATGACCTTTTCGGTTCTCCGTGCATATTTATTCTCTTAGTTACCTGCCTACCCGCTAGATCAGGTTAAATTAACCATGAAAGGAATACGGATAATTATCAATCAATTGCAATAATAAAATGAAGAAAATTGTATATAGGTTATAGTTATCGAGAACAAGATACAATTATAGATACCGCAGTATACCACGTTGAAAACTCAGGGAATAGTACGAAATAGATTTTTAAATTAAAATTGCATTCTTACGTAAAAATAATGAAATATTTACTATGTATATTACATAAGTTACATTAGTTTACCCAAAAAAATAATTACATGGCAATGTTTAAATGAAACTTTATAAAAAATTGTTTAATGACGATCAAACGATATATTATTATAAGTAATAACAAACAAGTATATCTTTATTCATAATATATTTATTTTAATTACAAAAGTAAACTTCAAAACCTATTAAATCACAATAAAATATTATCAAACTGTTTTATGATTTTTTTATTTTATCTATAATGCTTGTATTTTATTTTAGATTTTGGGTGAACCCATAAATATATTTGTTTTACAATGAAGTGTATTTTTTTTTTGTCTAACATTATTACATTATAAACTTTAGGTTCAATTTTCAATATTTAAGTTTCAGAAAACTCCAATCTTCAACTTCTAGAACGGTATATGGCAGCAAATTGTATCTAGTTAGTAGCAATGACGGACCCAGTGGGGGGAAAGGGGGTATTTCTCCTCACCCCCCCCCCCCCCAATCGCAGTAGTTTTCCTTTGTTTTACACCGTGTTTAACCAATTTTGGAACATTTTGTACTTTTGTATAGCTTTAATAATAATAATTCTTATTAAAACCAATAGCAACCATTTACAAACAAATATTTCCATCGTATATCTCAAAATCCCTGTTTGAACAACTCCACCTGTGGGACCTCTAATTTACCCTTTTTAAATTAACCTATCTTCTTCCCAGAGGTCTAATCTATCTCTGTACCAAATTTCATCGCAATCGGTCCAGCCATTTAGGAATGAATAAACGACACACACAAACATTCTTTTTTATATTTATAGATTAGTAATACAACCAGTTGAATTAATTTTTGCTGAAAACATTGCATTTGAAAATGTCATTATGTGTACTGTGCATAAAACATAGTAATATACTTTAAAAGTTTCAAGAATCTACGAATAATATTTTTAAATTACAACAAAATAACTAAAATGGTTATTCTTCGTTTAAATATCTAATTTATCTAAATTTTAACTTAAATTATCTATGAAAAAAAAATTCTTTGTTAATTAGTGTTTAGAGTTTTGGTTACATTATTAACTCCTTATAAGAAACCTTGTTTTAAAATTTTTATATTAAGCTATAAAAATGTCAAATTTAATAATTTTGTAACTGCAAAATAATTTGAAAATGATCGTGATTTTTATGAAATTTGTAACAAAATCGAATTTGACAACAATTGGTTTTGCCTTTTATGTAACATTTTTATTCAGTTTTTTTTTCTCTAATGATTTTAAAAAATACACAATTTTACCTCTTAAAAGTAACAATTAAATCCCTACCAGAAACCACCTCCAAAGTGGAAATCTAAGCATTTTTTTACTACTTTTCATTTATATAGGGTACAAATAAAAAAAGGTGCTCTGCTGTACAGTAGGTTACAAGTGGGTCACTGTAAAATGGATGGTATTAAATTTGAATTCAATGATATAATACCATTGTATAAGAAAAACGATTCTGAGCGAAAACGGTTAGTCAGCCTATGATATTACGAAGTATATTTGATGATACTAAGGTGAATAAAGTAATGTATATAATATTATAATTATATAACCTATTTACGTAGAATCTTGTTTTAAATTTTCAATCATTAACTATAAAAGTTGATCATTTAATACATTTTTAACTACAAAATAATTATTTAATTTTAAATGTGATACATTTTGTCAAAATTTGAACTTTAGATGCTTATAAAAAAAATTGTGACCCCCCAAAGTTCCAACTAGATTCACTTTCCTATCAGAAAAAATACTGTTGAAGAAAATCCAAGCACGTTTACTGTTCTAAAAGGTGATGACAGACACAAAAAAAAAAATAAAATAAAAAAAACACACATCATTGTAAAATCAATACATTCATCGTTCCGCTCAGAATCTAATATAAAAAACACACATCATTGTAAAATTAATAAATTCAAATATTCAAGATCAAACATTACGGAAAACTGAAATATTTTTGACCAAATTGATTTTGATTTTTTTGTTGTACTCAAAAATAAATAACCGTTTAGACTTGAAAATTTTTTTAAATATTTATGCTTAAGCAATTTCTAGACTTAATTTTCAAAATATTTTGTCTCTATTTGTAGGTACTATATTTGTAATCTTTGAAATTTTCGATTTTTCAATTTGATTTGATAAAATATTTAATGTCTGTTAAAAAGCTTATTAGAGATTTTTTAGATCAATCTAAAAATGTCAAAAATATAAATTTTTTTAACAATTTGAACCTTAAAATCTATCTAATTGGACATTTAAACTAAAGATAACCATTTGTCTTCAACGGTTTTAACTATTTTGTTGAAATTTAAAATAATATTAGTCGTAGGAACTTAGTAACTTTTTGCTATTACATATACCTTTATATTACTATTATTATCTATACACAATGAAATTGTCTTTTGTACCTATTAAGACGTTCTACTATACGTTGGTATTGACTGAATAAATTATAAGTTAACATGTAACAATAATATTAGTATATGATGGAATATAATATATTAATATATGTTATTCAATGTTTTATTTAAAAAGAGTTAAACCTGATGTCTTACTAAAATAGTAATTATTATTATAATTAAATTACAAAATATCTTTAGAAATATATGGTAATACACTGTCTCCGTGACTCACAATCGATTTTGTGACCTATTCAATGACGAGGTATACTTAAAATCAAAAAATAAATAAATATTTAGTTATACTTTTGATAAAAATGTACAAGGTAAGTATTTAGAATTTATTTTTTGAAATATTTGTATTAGTAAATTTGTTGGTGGTGAGGGGTCAAATGTTATCGAATATTAAGCTCTCTCCTATTATTATCAAGAATATGTAAATGTGCATATTGGAAATACCAAATATGGCCTATGTTGTTATATTATGCACGAGTAACAAACAATAAAATGTATAATAGGTATTTCGAGAATAATTTCCTATTCTTGATAATCCTGTAAGAATCAATCTTTCTGCTATCGACCCGATGAATCCCATCATATTGCACGTAAAAACTCCTATAGTGTATATTCCATTGGGGATGATCTTCACTTATTAATAAAAAGTTATTGTAAAATTAAAAAAAAAAAAAACCTAACATGATTTCGGTACACGGTATTATGTTATATACCTGCACACGGAATTCTACTTCTCCAGCAGCAGCAGCAGCCGCGGACCGTCGTGTGACGTAAGCTGCAACAGGCGTCCGTGGTAGATCATCCCCTCTAGACCTTTAAACGAACCGGAACAAAATTGCCTACATAAAACAGCACGCGCTACCGTACGACACGTCTATTATTACTGTGCGGTGTTTGTGTTGAGAGTGTTTTTTTCGCCCCAAATCTGTCGGTCTTCACAGAAGCACATAAAAATAAAAAATCCTAACGAAACGTCGCCGTTCCACGTTGTTTTGAATTGTTTTATCTCTCTAACCGTTATCAGTTCGTTGATGGTATTTCTCTAAGCGCAACCAAGTGTCGTCCACCCATAGGAGATGGTTAGTAAAATACAACATTAATATATTATTCAATTTTATACATTTGTATGCGTGTCCGATCGACTGCGTGTCCGATCTACATCAACTGCCCGTGCTGTTTTGCGCGGATACGCCTGCTTCTGAACATATTAAGCACATCAATATAAAATATAATTATATTAACAAGCAATAATTTTTATTTTAAATATCCATACTCTATTGTTAATGTTTTTACTTCTTAGCAGTCTAATTAGAAACTAACTATAAACTAAATCCCTGATCACGAAATTGTTATTTTATAACCTATATTTTTACGGGTTGTTCGTTTCCAGTAATTTCCAGTAAAACCCATTGATAACAATAATGCAAGGTTGGTCAACCAAGTTTATTTTTATTTTTAGATATTTAAATAATATTTTCAATTAAGACCATCTGCTACTCTCATGTAACTATTTACCTATCTTTTATTACGATCATGGTAGTTTAACCATATTAAACAAACAAGATATTAGGTATACAACTTATAGTCTAAAATATTTTTTAAATTCTAGATAATATGATTTTACTTAATTAGCTTGATTTTTAATTTCATATTATGTTTAACTATGTATTCTATATTTATTGTATGTATTATATATATTTTTACTGTACTTATGTCTTTAGGCGTTATCATAAAAATAAATAAATAATATTTATGTTTTAATTAACATAGCATTTCTACCCAAAAATAAAATATGGTTTAACTATTTTTCAGAAGAATGATTATTTATTAGTAATTTGTTACGAAATCGTACCTGTATTATAAAATAAAAAATTGAAATAAAAGTTTTGGTGCGCAACGAGTTCTTTACTCTTTCCGGGGACGTAAATTGACAACGATAATGATAATGTTACCCGTGTAACCAAGTAGTATGCTTCTACCTGGTTAATTTGATCACGATTGCTCAAAACAAATATCAACTGTCAAACATGTTGTGATTTATCGTATAAACGTACCAGGATAAAAAAATGTTATTGAAACTACATTCTGAAATGCGTGGAGACATTAATAACCAAATGTTACAAACAGCTCATATAAATTCGAGATATAATTGATTTTGTATGTTCTTCATTATTGTTAAATGAATTTTTTTTAAATATCTACCTAGGCAAATATAAGTACGTATTTATTCAAGCGTATATAGATAAAGCAAATATTGGACTCGGTGTCTTGCTACATAGTACATCATATCAATATGGGTACTATAATACTAAGTATTTAGATTTTCAACACAATATATTGAATTTCTCCTTTTCTAAAACGCTATAAATTATAAGATACATTTCTAAAGACAATATTTATTTGTAAGATTTATCAAAATTAATCTGATTAAATTTTTTATACTTCAAAAAAAGTTAATCTAGAAAATACAGTTAATTATAGTTTTGAATCGATAACTAAGTGAGAGTACGATCATTTTTACTAGTTAAAAAACATAATTTGGAGATAACTAATAACAATAATAAGTATAGAAATCATTCTAGTTAAACTAAATAGGTACGTGAATAAAATAAAATTAAGCCATTAAATCTAAAATATGAATGTGTTAAAATTTGTTTCGATGTTTTTTTATTTAAGAAATGAAGACAATAACGCGACAATACATTTTTGATTATAAAATAAAATGTTAATGTATATATTAACAATACTATGCGATTGTATAATAATGGTTTATTGATTCATTGATCTTAAACAAATAAAAATGTACAGTGTAAGGCTTACACTACAATGTGTAATCGTAATAATTATTAAATTCATATTTAAACAAAATTTGCTATTGTTAATGTTTCAGCTTGTCGGGGCGTTCATCTTTACTCTATTAGCTTTATTTTGTTTCGGCGGTTCTTTTGGCGAAGAAAGGTGAATTGGTAGTATAGTATATAATAAAATATTATTTTTGTGTCTACCTTAGATATTCTTTACCAGTGCTTATATCTTTTCACACGTGTAAAATATTTTCTGAAGAGTAATATTATTCACTGAACGTTTGCCGTTTACCGTATATTTGAAACAAAACCAATCAGTTCGAGCTTGTGAGCTTCTTTACAAATCAAACAAGGGAAACAAATATAAAAAATACAGAGAAATTCTGACATTTAAATTAATAAATCGTATTACCTATAATACGTAGTACCTATATGTAACGTTATAATAATAATGTCCCTAGTGTTTTAGCAATTATTTAAAGGAATTTTTTTTTGTAATTCGTAAATATGTTTTACAATATTATCATATTTATTCTAAGCACGAACTCGATACTTACTTGAAAATTATTTTGAAATCGTGTGAATGATTATCAGTGCGTGGTAAAGAATTGACTACTGCAGGTAATGTGTTTAATAATGAGATTGGACGTTCGGTTTTAATAGTTATCTAGGACATGGGGACTTCTCGACGGGTGGAGATCTGTCATCTTATCACCATTCGGGAGGCCATAATACCCACAGCGGCCACGGACATGGTGGGGGTGGAGGCGGAGGCGGTGGTGGCGGTGGTGGCCATGGAGGTGGTGAACACGTTCACAAGGGTGAAGTGATACACAGACACGTTCATGAGGGAAAAGTGGAACACATCCACAAACACGTGGGCCACGCCGAGCACGACCACAAACACGCAGGGCACGCGCACCACGACCACAAGCATACGGGCCACGCGGGCCACGACCATAAGCACCACGGCGCGGCTGAGCATAAGCACTCACATTACGGCAAGGCCGAGCACGGTCATAAACACGTGGGTTCTGGTGCACACTCGCACAAGCACATCGGCGCCGCCGAACACTCGCACAAGCACCACGGACAGGCGGAACATGCGCACAACCATCACGGACAGGCGGAACACGCACACAACCACGTGGCACACGCGGAACACGGGCACAAGCACACACTGCACGGTCAGCACGGCCATAAGCACCAAGGATCCGCCGGCCACACGCACAAGCACCTAGGGCACGCCAAGCACTCACACGCACACGGCGGACACGCAGACCACAACCACAAGCACCACGGACAGGCTGAACACGCGCACGGGCACCATGGCAGCTTCGGGCATGGACACGAGCATCATGGCAAGTCCCAGCACACGCACGCTCACCACGCACAGGCATCGCACGGCCACAAGCACTCGGGCCATCACGCACACTCGCATCACCACGGCGTCGACGGTCACGGAGGCGGAGGAGGCGGTGGAGGAGGTGGAGGCGGTCACGGCGGCCACGGTGGCCACATAGGGTACCTGGTTAAGAGGAACGACGGTGTGGCGCCTGCGGAGGGACTGAGCAAGTACTATAAGGCACCCGTTGTTGCAGTGCAGGAAACGTCGCCGTCAGCAGCCCCAAAACTCGAGGGCGTGCCGTTGGAAGACATGTTCAGCAAGGTGGAGATCGCTGATTATGGCGGCACAGCTGGCACGACCGAGTGAAGTGAGTGAACGCGATCAATGATTAACTTGACGCGATCAAACTTGTTATATTCGTCTACGTTTGCCACGGTATACCCATTGTTAAAATAATACTATAATAACTATATACCATAAGAATGTTTTAATTTTTTTTCTTACTTATAAATGTTATTTTATTTATGTATACTTTTTTTGTGTTATTAACATATACATTACTTAAATATAATATATATTATATTATGTGTTGTTAATATTTATCTTATTATATAGGTAGTAATAATAATAATAATAATAATAATATGTACATGTTTGCATCACAAAAGGATAATAATATTATATGTTATACAATATTTTGTAATGTAAATAAAAATAACACGTTATTATACGCGCCGTCTCGATAAATTGTTATTCCATCATACGTATAGGTACAAAAACTAAATTCAACGCAGTAACGAACAAACATTGTGTACAATAATATGTGTAATGTGTGTGTGTGTATATTTCGCTAAAACTAGGTTTTCGTAGCGTGAAAGAATGTTTTTTGTCGTGAAAACATTGCGCTCGTTCGGTTTCATTAAACAAAATTAGTCAAGGGTGGTTTTGAGTTGTGCAATATCATAACAGGTGGAAATTGGACCCAATTAACTGTTGTAACTCGCGTTGGGTGGTTGCGTAACGCGGTAGGTATATCGCTATAGGAGCTGTGGAAATGCGGCTTTTCCGACGGATACCTACTGCTGCGTATTGTATAAACTACAACGTACAATAATAATGATAATAACGACCTAACAATATAATTATATTAGGTACTACACAACAACAACAACAGTATCAGCAACGTCGACATAATAATAATAACAATAATAAAAATAATAATAATATTAATAATGGAAACTACACTATAATATTATATATACACAGGTAGTGGAGATGCATTTCATTTGAGAGTACTCAATCCATCTTGTTGAGCGTGTAGCGCAATATCTGTAACTCGTTGCTGATGTTGTTGGCCAGCTCTTGCAGTTGAAGTTTTGAGTCCAGCACCTGTACGTTCTGCGTGTATGGGTTATACCGGATTCCGAATTGTTTCGGTATCGTCTTTGCAAATTTTCTGTAAAAGGACAAAAAAAAACGCACATATAAAACACTTGAGAAGTAAAGGAAAATGCCGTTTGCTGCTGATAAAAATTCAGCTGATTCAGATAGTGAGAAGTTTATTGGGTAATAAGTAATAATACTATTATTATAAACGCTTTTATTAATGCTGCTCACATAAGTTTGTCCTTGACGTCATCGAAGCTCTCGGCGACGAAATACGTGGGCTGATACTCGGTGATCGGATACTCCTGGTCACCGGTCACCTCGGGATCGAATGGCTTCAGCTCCGGTTTGCCCGACAATGAGTATTGGAGTTCACCGATCGACGACAGCAGTCCGGCGCCATATGCTTTCAGCTCGCCGTTCTGACGGCACAACCCGAACTCGACGGTGAACCAATAACACTGCAACGCGGTGTACATGATGTTATACATAACTTTGCATAGGTATATTATAAATAATACATGTATCGTATATTTTTTTTATAATATACATGGTTATTGATTATTTAGCAAGGGCATAATATATTAATCACCTTTTTTTTTTTTACATGAATGTATTAAAATTTTGCAGATCATCATGATTTTTGGAATATTAAAGTAGACATACTTAGTATCTACCATATTTTCAATTATTTAGAATTTGTATACCATATAAATAACGTCCTACAGGCTACAGTGGTACAAACTTCTTTTTTTTGTTAAGAGAACATAATATTTACTATACATTTTTAAGCACGTGATTGAATTTAAATTTAAATTTGAATTAGTTTTTTCTGCGTTATTTTTATGTAGGTATATACTAAGGATAATATTATCGTCCTTAAATGGCTTACACAAATATAAAATAGATTTAGTTTTGAATCTAGCAATTGTTTATACAAATTATAAAATATTCGTAGATTATATGAATTACCTAGGTACTCAAATTTTCAATCATAGCCCCCTTATCTTCCAATCTCATTATCATGGACGAATGAGATGGATCTATAATTATACTTAGTATACAAATTTAAATAACTCAAAACTAGGTACCTAATCATTCTAATTTCGATTTCGATATAGGTACCTATAATCAATTTAAAAAAATTCATCTGATTAACAACTTACAGAAAAAATGTGATTGAAAACAAGAAATTGGTATCACCACGGGACAAATGTAAGTGTTTGCAAATATGGCCCTTAAATAGTTAAATATATTTCAAAGTTCCAAAAATCATAATTGAAATGAATTCATTATTAACGAATAAATGGGGGTGTGCATGCTTGACGAATCACCCTGTATTAATGTGTATAGGTGTGTGCTTGTTTGTGATAGTACGTACAACAAAGCACGAACGATAGTGTAACACGAGCACACGTATATTTTTGTACGTCATAAAAGAAAATTAATATCGCAGTCGATACGCCACCATTACGATATTACGATATCGAGTTCTTATAATGTATATATTACACGTAAAAACTATACATATATTGTGTACGGTTTGATTGTTACGCACTATCTGTATATAATATAATATATAGACTAAAAATATTGTTATCCAGTGCATACATTATATTATTCATTATAATATTATTACCTATTATGATTCCGTCACAATAATAATATTATATATAATTCAAATATACACACACCTTAGGTAGGTAATGCACAGATACTAAGCGTTTAAACGTGTCATGCCGATTCGATAGGAAATAATCATTTTCATTCTTTTTTTCAGCCTATTATAATGAAATTTTTGACGAAAAAAGATTTTATTCGTGTGAGATTGCTTACATTTTAATAGTAAATAATTGATTGTTGTGGTTTATAATATGATGCGTGTGAGTGCGTTTTGATTTTTTTTCGTATAAGTAATTGTGACCATGAAGAAAATCGTTTTGATTCTCTTATGTATGTACGGCGTAGGTACCTACGTGAATGTATAAAATGGTAAATGCTGTTTTAAAATATTTGTATGTTTTAATCGCTTAACATGAGTTTTATTAATACAATTAATAAAATCTAAATTGGATCATAGTCGATGTCGGACTTGTATCATAAAATAAATTTAAATTATCAAATTTTAACGGTGTTTCGAATTTCGATGAATAAAAAAAACCGTGACTGCAGTTATAAAATAAATCTACGTACGTATCTCAGCGCAAGTAAACATAGTTTTTATGGTCAAGTGCATGAGGTTTATGATGCGTATATATATATATATTATACATAGTATTATAGTATATACACATAATGTGCATGTGCATTTACCGTGGCCAGTTTTTGAACGTAATCGTCGGGGGCGCCAAGTGACGCTAGTCCAATTTCTTGAGAGAATTGTGCAAAAGCCGGGTTAGCGAACAACGGTACGTGACCCAATAGTTCATGACAAATGTCCGGTTCAGGCGTGTACAATGGTCGACTGTGGTGTCTGATGTACTGTGTGGAATGGAATACTCTAAAAGCTAGTCCGGCTAAGAAGTCCCTGGACGAAAGAAGCCCGCCAACCGGTCTTAAAGTGAATCCGGTACTGTCTGTAATAAGTTACAAAATTATAAAAATAATAAAACAATTCATTTTCATAAAATGGTTTTTTTTTGCGGCAAATCCTATATCGTATAAAATACACTATATAAGTGTATCTAGGTTCGAGTGTATCTCAGTTATAGTGTACTAATGTTCATGGATTAAACCGACGTCAGTGTACCTATCTTTGTGAAATAATTCTACCTAAATGGGAAACTGCAAGTTGTGGATTAGATTTAGCACTTGGCATATTTTTTAACATGGCTTAAACTTCTTACTCTTTCAACTTTTCTAACGTCTTTGAAAAAAATCCCTGACATTTTCGTAAAATTCCAATCAAGTAGTTTTGTTGAGTATATAAGTTACACACATACATTTGGTTTTAAGATATAGTTTCTTTATTCGAGGCCAAAAGCGTTTGATGCAAGCTTGTACATTATTAGGCCGATTAACCATTTATATGCAAAAAAAAATAACACTAATTTATATTATAACTATTATAATCTGCAGCCATTGGCAAGTGGCAACCATTTATAAAAAAAATAAAAGTTTCAATTTCCACCGTAAATATCAAGTTTGACCACCTTTTTAAAATGCAAATATCGGAAAATCCTTTCTTATTGGTTATTGCCTCATTGCACAACTAAATCATTAGAGGAAGCACTATTCCAAATTTCAAGTTTGTAGTTTTTGAGATGTAGCGATGAGTGAGTGAGTGAGTGAGTGAGTGATATTAGGCTTATATATTATGTATAGATTAGCTACCTACTTTAAATATACTATAAAATTATAATATAATTCTAAGTTTTAATTTTCAAAATATGGTATTGCACACGTCATAGTACGAGACCTGTATAGAAATTATAATTATTATTACCCTTAAGAAAATTGGAGATATCCTCGAACTGCGGTATGCAGTCCTCTCTATAACCACAGTTTTCAACTAACAGGGGAAACACGTGATTATATTCATTGCACGCATGCGTTGGATACAATTTAGTTAGTTCCCTGAACACGGTACCCCACGTTTTCACTTCTTCTTCGGTGTACTCGATATAAGGTAACGGATCTCCACTGTAAATTAAAAGTTTTATTTTTTTAGTACGGCAATATGATTTTATATGTTAGGTACGTTATTATAATGTGTAATATCCTTTAATAATATTAATGAAACTATTTTAATTGTATAATATTATAGTAATTTAAGTAATTTTTTGCTATAGGTAAATGTATGAATATGACGCTGTCGACCACATACTGTCTATAATTCAACGCCGTGTCGGCCAAATACTTCCTCCTCATTCTGTACACAGGATCTGTGAACCCAGGATGGTCGGCGTTCAGTTCAGCTCCGTGCGATAGGATCTGATTGGCGTACTTGTCCAGGTCCCTGATACGCAACGGGAACCACG